TGTAGTGAAAGCAGAAATGCTGCCAAGTTGAACAACCTTATCTCCAGCATGACTGATCCCCAAAGAAAATATTGGATGACCTCTCGATAGTAGCTCGTAAGCAGTAATCATAAGCATAGGTTTGCTGAAGCAAATAATGCAAGAGGAATGCCGAAGTTCCGGTGCTCACCCTGTGGATTTGTTGCCATTTTTACCAACGTAGCAGTGACGTTGAATGTGCAGCCCAGTGACTGCAATAATTTCACCGCCGTTTTCTGCGTTACCAACGAAGCCATCAGTAGCGCATTGTGACTCGATGCTCGCCGCAATAAATACAGCTAGAACACAGCAATAGAATATTGAAGAAAGTTCAGGAAGTTGTTGTGAATGCTAAACTCGGATGGGTAATGCGATATTTTCACCTGAGTAGCTGAAGAGACCATCAGACAGTCGCAGTCGAAAGCATGCCTCAGGATATCCAGTCGAACCCTCCGCCAATTTTTTGACAAGCTCAACACATTGTGCTTTCGGCACAGAACGATGAAAGGTTATGAAAACGTACTGTGACTTGGAGAATTGGAACTTCCTTGATGGAGCCGTCGGTTTCGAAGTAACGCTAGAAAAGTGACAGTGTTATCTAATTGCAAATGGAATAAACCAAGTTCTGTGACATATTACCTGAAAGAAGCCGGTTGATAGATGCAGCTCGCCATTTGTAGCGTAATTTCGATACGGCAATGAACTAAGAGAATCACTTGCCATTTGGGAAACCCGATGATATCGTAGAGGATTGTAAGTTCCGATCAGTATGATAGCGAACAGCTATCTGACTGAGACTGAAAAATACACTAAATGCGCGTTGATTGAGCGATCGGTACGGATATAGACTGTTGCGAAATTGAAGTTCACTGATGAATTGTAGTGCAAAGAAGGTTTGGATTTCGTTATGTCCGAAGGTTGTTTTGCACACCTAACATGCGTTTATGGAGTGATTCAAAGTTTAAAAACCACTGCAGCACATGGAGAACTTGCGGCTGACACGATCGCTATCCTAAAA